ATGTGGCAGCTCATGCTGGTAACCTTCGTGTCCTACTCGCTGCTGCCCGTCCGGACTCTGCTGGCCATCGTCTTCGGGCTGGTGGTGTCCGTCTCCCACCTCATCGTTACCGCCACCTCCGTCAGTGCCAAGAGGCAGCGGCTCTGGAGGACGGTGAGAGAGGCCGGGCCGGGCCGGGCCGGGCCGGGCACTGCAGCTCCGCACGGCTGCGGGGTGCCTGCCAGCCCGCGGGAGGGAGGGAGGGAGGGAGGGCGGAGAGGCGTGGAGCAGCCCCCCGCCCCGAGCCCCCAGCCCGGGCGGCGGCCGAGGAGTGCCCGGGGTGTCCCCGGCGGGGAAAGAAAGGGCAATCGCGCACCTGTGCCTTGGGCGGCTGTGTCTGTAGTTCCCCGAAGTTTCCGGGAGGCAGGGGGGAAATAGGTCAGCTTTGGGGAGACGGAACCTCTTGGCTCTGTCTCTCCGAGGAAAAGCGGGGAGAGGGCAGTGGAGCCAGCTCTGCCGTGCCCACGCTTGGGGCAAGTTCAGAGCACCGCATGCACAGTCGGTGCAACACAGCCCATTATCAGTAACACCGCTTGGCTCGGTACAAACTTGGCAGAGACAATAAGCTGCGTGTGGCAATAATATTTCCACGGAGTTGGCTCCTGTCCTTGCTGTCTTTCTCAGCCATGGACCCTTCGTGCTCATACACACCCTATCTACACTTCAGTTAGTGTCTTTGAAGACACCGTCTGAAATAAGTGGGACTCTCGCAGAGGGAACCCCACATCGCTGCTCTCTCAGCAAGCGGGGCATTCCCCCTTCAGCTTCCCCAGGGCGGCTGCTGCCTCCTCTCCACAGTCATTACGTGCTATGGCAGTGAACTTCCTAGCTGTTCCCTTTCACCTCTGAATGAATCCAGCAAAATCTCCCTCTGCAGCAAGTATCTTTGGAAACGTGCTGCTGCACTCTCCCCTCCTCCCCCGAGGAGCTATTTATATCCCTGCAGGGCTTTCTCCGGCTTTCGTGGCCTGATGGGCCGCACTGGCAGGGGGAGGAGGATGAGGAGATGCGCGTGTGGGAATCACTGGGGCTGACAGTCGGGGTTTGCTGCTGAATGCTCTGTTATGTGGTGCCTCTGAACCACTGGGAACGAGAAATTGAAAAATTTTTCTGTCCTTCCTCACTAGCATTGATTCTGTCTGCCCTCAGGGGAAGCACACAGGTTCTGTGGTCCAGATTGCTGTTAAACAACAATTTAATGTGTAATTGAAGTACTTAGTACATTACTTCTGCAGAATCTTGGTATTATTCTCCATGACTGTGTAAGGCTCTGTTGCGATGCTAGGGCGTACACAACTGGCATAAGCAGAAACACTGGCATAAGCAGGATTGTACACTTTTGTGCCCAGAACCGTGAATTCCTGCCTTCTCCTTCCGTGCTCACACAGACACACCTCAGTGTGACATACATGCACAGAATAGAGATACATACACAGGGGCAGCCACTGAGTTGGGTTACTGAGACAAACAGGATTATTCATGGCTTCACGCTGCTGAGCTGGTGGACAAAATAAATTGTATATTTTGAAGGAGAAGAGAGAGAGATAAGCCGAGCTTTATGATTTACCCAGATAATCTGATGGTCTATTTTTAAATATGTGATTTAGGGTTTCCATGAGAGGGAGAGCTGATGAAATGCAAGAGCACTGAGAGAAGCCTTCCTTAAAAGCATTCAAAATGATGCTAAAAATGCTAGAATATTCTTTTTGAGTAGAGCTGAACATAGCTCTTTTTACTGGAGTACCAATTAGTCCTTATGGGAGTTCTGGCTATCCTGTCTCCCCTGACACACAGGCAGATTTTCCTTGATGCCGAGCTGCAGCTCAGTGTGGCATCTGCTGTTCTAGATGAATAACATAAAGAAGCTGACAATAATGTCTGCTGACTAAATTATCTAACCAAGGTCGTGAATGTGAAACATTCTGAAGAGGGAAAATCTGCTAACTCCCTTCAGACTAGTTTAATTTAGTTATTCAACAGGCGAGAAGCTGGCTT